CTGTCTGCCCCCACCCCTTAATTGCAAGCACTGTTTGCCATTTCTAGGGACTGGGGAATTAAATTCTTACAAGGTTCCTGAAGTTCAAATGTTGCATTAAAAAGCAGAGCACTTTGAGTATGGTCTAAGAGCAGCATCACAACAGGGACCTCAGCTGATGGTGGCACAGGCTAGTTCTGCCTCAGCTGTCAGTGCTTAGTAGGGAGTGAGTATCTTCACAGGTCTTCATCAAACTTTTTTTGGTCTTCTGTGAGTGAATGCAATTCTTCACAGATTAGAAATAAGTCACGTAAGCAGTTTGTGGCAAAGCCAGCACTCACCTCAGGCTGCCTTTGAACTGTTTTCACTGGTCTTGATTGGACTGTTTGGGCATGCAGAAAGAATGAAAATAACATATTGCTTGCTTTGCTGTCTAACTAATGGATATTTGATGTTTCCAAGTCTTGTGCATTTGAAATGAATGTATTAGCAAAATCTAGGGGAGGTGATAGCAATAGATGAGTAGAGGAAATTGTTTCTTCTCCGTTTTCTTGCTCTAAGTGGAAAGACTGAGCCTCTACAGAAAAGAGAAAGGCATTAAAAATGACAACTCCAGTCAGACTGAGCAGTGAGTGACTTGTGCAGAGTTAGAAAGGTTGGTGAGTTTGTGAGGTTGATTTTTTTGGGGTTTGTCTTGGGTTTTTTGCAAAGCATTAAGTCTACTCACAGTCCTCAGAAGGATGTTACGTAGATCATTTCCCTTTTTCTTCCTCTTTGCTTAGCTGTTTTTGTTATCTTGCCCTGCTTCAGCTCTGGGTTTGCCAGTTCTCCCGGATCCAGTGGGAGCAGTACTTAACTGGTTTAACTGGGTTTTGTCAGTCTTTGCCCTATCCAGAGCTAGTTGATGTGTTTACACTGTGCTGTGTGAGGCACAGGAATTTGTGGCCATTGTGCCCTGTTAGCCAAGTGGCTCAGTCTGTGCTGTGCAAGGGCTGCGGGCACAGGGTTAGACCTGGGTGGCCTTGCCAGGACAAGTGCCATGAGTGAGCCCAGAGGGTTAACTTCTTTGTGGGTAAATGCAGGTAGAAATGGGGCAGCCCGTTGCAGTTATCATGTGAATTACAACTTTTGCAGTCCTCCATTGGATTCCTGTTGCACTTTTTCCTGAACAGGAGCTACTTCAGGTTTTCCTTTTAGATGTTTACTTGCAGAGATAATTCTTCACTTGTTGAGGAGATGTTTAGCCTGAGAACCTTTGCCAAAACTGAGACAGAATGGGAACATCAGAAATAAGGAAGAAAATCAGTATTCGTTGACCGTTTAGCCAGCAAAACATTCTGTTTTGTTTCAAAGATGGCTTTGTATGTGTAAATTGTTACTGTTTTAATATATATTTGGTCTGCTTTTAAAAAGCTGGAGAGAAATAACCTAATTCTGGGGCAGAGTTGAACCAATTTGTAATGCAAAGGAGTAAGATTTGGTGCTGAATTGAGGGGAAAAAAAGCTGTTTGAACAAAATATATCCCAATTAAGTTGCACCAACGTTTTCAAGAGAAATGAACCCTGAAACAGCAATGAGCAGTAGTGTAGCACATCCTAACCATTGAAATTTGAGCATAAAATGTGGAGGGAAAACCCCCACAGCTTTTTGGAGTCAGGAGAAGAACTTGGTTTTGAAACCCATTTGAAAATTCTCATATTCTGAAGTTGGATAAAATTTTGAGAGGTACTGTTTGTAGGAGTAAACACTCCTACTGCTGCTCTCTATGGTCCAGGACTGGACTAAAAGTTGGGAGTACTTTCTGTTGTAGTGACTGAGTTACTGTAACGGAAACAAATTGAGAGCCAAGTAGATCCTGAAGAAAACCAACCTTCCCATGTTGCAGACGTGGTTGTGTTCTGATTCTGTTCTTTAATTAGCTGATTGCTTGCTTATGAGGGGGGGAGGTATGGAGCCAAACACTGGGCACTCCCTCTGGAAAGGTAGAAGATGTAGCAGCAGGATAACAGACTTCATGCTGTTGCTGTGTGTTTCCTGCTGCCTTCCTGCCTGTTCTCAGGCCTTTGGCTCTGCTAGCTTTTCCTCCCTCGTGTTATCTTCCCCTTTCCAAATGTTTGGTTGTCCTGCTCAGTGCTTGCTTGCACTAAGTAGTGCTCTTTTAAGCAGAAATGCAGGTATGTAAATATTGTCCTAGTGTTACTGTTTAATCTAGTTACCTTAGAGAGGACCTTGTTATTTTTGCAGTGCTACTGTTCATCAAAAAAATCAGCCTATACTAAACTGTGCAGTCCATTAAATGTGACCTGTATGCATAATACAGTGGCACAGGTACTGTAATCTAGAGCTGGGTGTTCATGAATTAGTGGCAATCTGCATACAGTTAGAATAAGCAAAAGGAGAATGTAAGTATGTAAGTTGGATTATAAATACACCTGATTGGACTAGCTGCATTTGCTGTGCACTTAATGAGCAACCAAGAGATGGCAAATACTTCTTGTAGTCCTTCCCTTTAAGCTTCTTTATAACTTGAAGTTCTGTAGTATGTAATGACTAGATTATTTTGCCTATTCCTCCCCTACCCCTTCCCACGGGAAGTTCAGATGTGCCATATAAAGACAGGAAATGTGTTACAAATGAGCCAGTCCTGCTTTTCTATGGCTATTCTATATGAATGTTCATGTTAATTTTCAGTGGAAGTTTCTATTTGCAGTATTATACAGCTATTGACAGTGAAGTCTAATCTTTGGGGTTTTTTTTCTCCTTAGAGCACAACAATGGAAGAAACAGCTATATGGGAACAACACACGGTGACTCTTCACAGGGTGAGTTCATGCAATCGTTTGTGTGTGCCTAACGCAGGATACTGGTGGGTTTTGAAACAATAGGAAAAAGCCAGATGTCAGGAAGTAAAAGAGAAGGAAACTGTCATATTCCTTTGTTTAAATTTAGAAGTGTTGTAAAAGGTCCACGTGATAGGAGCTCTATTTGTTTGTTGGCTTTCAGAGATAAGCCTAGGGATAACAGTGCCAGAAACAAAGCTTTAGATTACATCTGTGCTAACTGAAAGGAGGTAGAAATCTACATATTCATTAATGATTGTGCTCTGACTATGCTCAAAAGTTTCAGAACTTTGTTTGCAGGGACATAAACCAATGTAGTTTGCTATAAATAAATGTATTCAAAATTGTCCTATTTGCTTGCCACTTTAAGCAGTGATTCTGGGTGGTCAGAATGTGTACCTGACATGAAGTCATGTGCATAGGGGTCAGTGGATAGAAAGACTGCAAAAGCATTTAGGTTGATTCCTCTCTTACTTGAGTTACCTTAAATTAAACTGATTTCTGATGTAGCTGTCATGAAGCTGTACAAGAGTCAATAAGGAATGAGTTGCTTAGAGAATGTCAGAACAGGGTGAGATGCCATTTCTGGCAGCAGATTGATATTAAAGCCACCATGGAATCGTGGTCCAAATAACTATCTTCATCTCAACAACAGGGAGATGTGACAGTGTTGTTTCAGGGCAGCAATTTGCCCTGAGTTCTTCATCACAGAATCAAGGCATTTTAGAATTGTAGCTTTGATGGGATGAATGGACCTTTGACAAAAAATGTGCATGTGTAGGTCAGCTGGTCAGATAAAATGTTAGGAGTTTCATGTTGTTGGTTCAAAATAACCATTTTGGTCCCTGCCCTTTTAAAAGAAGAGCAGTTAGGCTCAGTTTGACCAGAAGGCTCTCCCAGAGTACCCTGACTCTAACTGCAGCCACATGTTGAAAGGGAAGTATAAGTAAAAATGAAAATGTGTAGTGATATTTATCTAGGCTACTCTTCCAAGATTTTTTAGGTCAGCAAGTTCTTAAGCAAGAAGTGTTAATTCTGTGTGTAATTGCCCTTTATGTTTTCTTCTTGAAGCTGTCCAGTCATCCATGGAACCTCTGTAAACTTCAAATTTTTTACCCATAGTCTTGATTAAATCAGAACTCTCTTCTAGTCAAAACCAAACAAAAAGTGCCAGAGCAACACAGGGTTTGCTACTAGGCCTTGGTGATAGCTTAGTTTCACTGCAAGGGGATAGTTTTCTGGTGAACTGGAGCAGTAACTTCAGTGAAACCTGAAACGGTGAGTTTAGTCAGTGCACAAAGGAACAGTGAAATGCTGCAATATGGTGTTGCCTTGAGCAAATTTGAAATAATAGGTAGGCACCAGAGATCTTGTGTTTGGTTGCACCTGCAGCATAGTCAGAAGTTTTTCTGTGCTATTGATGTGGAAGTGCAGTTTGATCATAATTTTGGTTATGATCTTATACACACCAAAGTTCTGCCAACTGTTCTGGTGTAACTGTTTTGTTAGCTAAGTAGGTATCTCTCACTTAGGTGTTGAAAGCTGATGGTGTGTACTGTTAATAACTGATAGCATTCATTTAGCTGTTTAAAAACAAACAGTAATTTCCATCTGCCAGATAACAAAACCAAACCTCCTTATGCTAATATTAAACAACTTGGTGCTTAGAATTTATCCTTCCCACGAGGAAGAGGATTTGTGAGAGCAACTGCACACTTGCTTGTGGGGTTTCTGATTTTGTTTTTTGAGGTGCTCTTGTAGTGTTAGATTAAGTAAACAGGGTCACTTGAGTTTAGTTGGAAGGAGTGAAATGTGTCCATATCTCAGTTATTCTCTAAGATATCTAAAAGTTAATAGAATTGGAATAGACTTGAAATGCTGCTCTGAGTAGTTGTGGAATATTTTCTGTGCATTTATCTGCTCTACTTGGCTGAGCTGTAGAACTGCTAGAGACTACTAGAATCTACTCTCAGCAATACAAAACTCTTTGAAAAACTGAACTTGCTTTCTCTAGTGAGGCACCCAAAAAAAAATCCCCTGTGATTTTGGTTGAGCTGAGGGCAGTAAGCTGCTGTGAATGATGGAATGAGTAACACTTGAATATGTGCTGAGTCTCTATGGGGCAGATCAAAGTCAGGTTTCATGTTACTGGCTTCCTGTTTTATTGGGATGCCTCAGAAGCCTTTGGGATTCACCAAGCTTTATTGTACACGCTGTCAGTGCTTGCTCTCAGAAATGAGGCTAGACAAGTCATTGGAAGAATCTGATATAGAATAAATTTGTCTAAAATCTTACTGGATGAGGCAGAGGAGTCTGGAATTGGAGTCAGTCTGGATCAACTCTTGTCTCTTCCCAAGCACCTGCTTAAAGGCAAACAGATCTGTTGTCCTTCCAAGTTTGGCAGAGAAGCTATGTAACTGTGGTTTATTTTCCATTTTAATTGGTTTTCATTAATGGCATTTGATTCAAATGACTTACTGAGTAAGGAGCACTAACATCTACTACAATGAGCAGCTGTAAAAGTAGGGAGGGAACACAAGTAGTTTGTTAGAGATGGTGTTTGTGTGTATGTTAGGTAAGATATAGAGTATTTCTGACTACATTTGTTCCCTTTTTGAGTCTCATTTTTGTCCTGTTGGTAATTTTACCACTGGCAATTTTACCTTGTTTTAAGACTGTGCTGTACTCTATTATAACTCCATTGCTCCTCACCAGAACTGTATTTTTGCAGTTTTACAAAAGCAGTTTTGGTAATAATAATCAGATTTCAGGAAGGTAGGTATTACTAGTGCCATTTTCTTTCTGAATAAGAAAAGCCCCACACTAGCAGGTAGTATATAAGCTATGCTATGTGTGTAGTCTTCTGATCAGCTTTTAGCATGTCAGTGTCTGAGGTATTTAACATGTTAATAATGTTTTTACATTGTTACAGGAGGCAGTTTCTGATTTACAAACCAATTAATGGCAGTTCAAAAGTGTAGTTCCATACCTCAAAGATACGTGTTTTGGGTTTTGGATATGTTTTGATTCTGTAATAATGCTTTAAAGATGGGGTGGTGTGGTATAGAATCTTTGGAAGATGAGCCTTACAAAAGAGACAGAAGTGCTTTGCATAAGGAGTTCATGCTGAAGAATGCAGTTTTGCTCCTTTTTTTTTTTTCTTTTGAAAGACTTTTCTATGACCTTTGCTTCTCAGAGGTGTTATTAAAAATCAGGGACAGAGTATACTTAATCCCAATAGTTACAGAATAAATGTGTCTGCTCAGGCCATTTGATATTGTTCAGACATCAGATTGGGGTTTTTGTTTTATTCTTCCCCCTATCTGTTAGGTGTCTGAGAGCATCTGAAGCAGAGCATATGGGCTCTGACTGTGCTGTGATTTAACACAGCCATGGATGAATTCCAACACTGTTGTGAAAAGACACATTAGAAACTTTTTGTGGGAGGAGAGGCTTGAATTTCTAACCAATAGGTTTTGTTCCCTTTCTTTATCACCCTTCCAACTTCCAGGGCTTGACTGGCTACTTAGCTCTTAATCTTCAGGGTTTGAGCTAGTCTCAAGTTCAGTTCAAGCTTATCAGGTAGCTACAGTTTGTTTTTCATTGAGAGATCTTCTCATTTTCTATACTTAACTGTCAAGGACTTGAAGGTGAAACCAAGCACTCTGTGTATTGTGTGGGTTTCTTCATACTTGGAGCTCAGTTCTGTGAGTTTTAGATGTGTCTCCTTCCCCCAGAGAACAGAATCCAGGTATGTACATAACTCTGTCTCTGCCATACTGTGGGAGAGCAAAACAGTACAGTTCTGTTTCTCGTGGTGTTTCTACAACATCTCACAGGTGAAGTTTAGATACCACAGGTTTATTTTTTAATGTAGTTTTACTCATGATACTTACTGATATCTTGTTTGATCTGTAATGATCAACATCTTGCTGTTTCCAGATGTGTCCAGGAGCAAGGCTCAGTTTCCTGAGGGTAGTTCTGTTTATCATTTATTTCAAGGTGATGGTAGGCAGCAGGATAAAATGAAAAGCAGGTAGGCTGATTTTACTGGAAGGTTTCTTATGTGAGCTCTTAAATTTTCAGAAGTATTTAGGGTTTTATTTGAACTTTTTAATTGGGAGTGTTTAAGATGTGGATTTATCTTATTGGAAACCCTTTATCTGACTTGTGGCCTTTTTTGACTGCTGTCTGTGACACTGCATTGTTTCAGGCCTTCTGGAGCAGAACATTATGAAACCAGACATTTTAATAGCAGTGATTTGTTTTGAAAATCTACTTTTTTAAAAACAGGATGGCAAGCAGCAAGATCAGGTTTACAGTGAGTTTCTGCTGACCTTAGCCTGATAATTGTGTTTTTTACCATGAGTGGAGAACTATGAGAATTTTTTGGTTTTGGTGTAAGGCAAGATAGAGAATATTTAAATGAAGTTTGATATAAACGTCTTTGTTATTATCTCTCTCCTCCCTTTCCTTCCCCACTCAAATACAGTGCAAACTCAATTCTGTTTGTTAGAGTAATGGAAAACTGAATCTCCCTTTCCTTCCTCACTCAAATACCGTGCAAACTCAATCCTGTTTGTTAGAGTAATGGAAAACTGAAAGATGAAGCAGTGGCATGTGAAAGGGGAAATATTATTACTGTTTTGAAAGGACTTTTGTAACATATTTTCATACTGTTTGACAAGTCAAACTGAAAGAAAACCTCAGCTCTGGTCATGAGTAGTCATTAAGATCCTTTAGGCTGTCCTTCTGCATGGCCCCAGGTTTCACTTAGCTCTTGAATCACAGCCATAATTTCTGGTTGGTCTAGCTGGAAATTGTCTTGAGAGGAGATCCAGCCTTCCTTTAATGAATTAAAACGGATGTAAAAGAAGCAATAAGGTGTACCCTTCCCCACTCCCCCACACTTACACCAACTTCCTTCTTGGCAACAGTATTTGCTAACTGCTCAAATCAGTTTCTGAACAGTGGATCTCCCAAGTCTGTATTTTAATATTGTATGTTCTTATTCACTGCTCCTATTCATTGCTCCCAGGCAAAATCTGGAGCATATTTTTATGACCTCTGTTTTTTTGAGGGAAACAGGAAACAGTTTTTTTGAGCAGTAATTAATGTCCAGAAAGCTGAATGTCATGGGTCTTACAGCCAGATGCAGACTGCCATGCTGCCTCTGCTGTCACTGTAAGGTTATGAAACTCCTTGCTGAAGCTGGGTCATGTTATTGAAAAGTCTGAAGAAGAAAAGGCTGTGTGTGCCAGCATGAGGTGTGTGCTCTGTGAAATGGAGGCCTGGAATTGACCAAAACCTCATCTTTTCCATCCAGGAGCTATATTCTGCAAGTTGAAAATTTCAGAATAATTTCTTGAGCAAAATACAGCATTTAAATGGTAATGTCCTCAATATATTTTCTGGGCAGTGATGGAAGAGCCTAGACAGTTTGCAGATCAGTTATATTTAGCAAGCTTATTTCCCACCCTCTCTGCTTCCAGGCAGAAATGTAAGCATAGTTGTTGTATCTTGAAATTTCTAACAGGAATAACTTTTCAGAGGCATTGACCTTGCTGCAGTGGCAGGTCACCCTAGAGGGAAAAGATTGAAGCAAATTACTTTTGTTAAGATGCAGATGATTTGCAAGTGCTGACAAGGTTTTGATGTATTTAATGGTACAAGTGATCTTGGTATTATTCTTAAGAACTGAGCCTGCAGTCATACTACTGTGTGCTGCAGTCCTGTCAGTTCTGAGCTAAGGGAGGTCAGGCTGGGTAAATAACAGAATGTGAAACCTCAAAGAAGTGTTGCAGGAAGTGATAGGGGTTTGAATCAGTATCACGGTGCAGTGATATGGTCTGTTGTGCTTACTGGAGATTGAGGTCTTGCTGGTGACCACCTGAGGTCCAGGCAATAAAAGTGCAAATGAGAACTCTAATGTTTTCTTTTTGGGAGAGATTGGGTAGTTAGTCAGAAACTCTCTGCCTTCTAAAAGTGTTTGTTTATTTTTAATCTCCCTCCTGTTACTGGATTGCATAGCACTGACTGGTTCATTGATCCTGCTTTCTTTTCAAAATGTGTGTCCATTTCATAGGACCTTTTTGTGTTGACACAGGAATGCAAATGGTGACTGTGCAAATACTGGAAAATAAAAATATTTCTCTTGTCACATTATAGGCGCCTGGATTTGGATTTGGTATTGCAATATCTGGAGGAAGAGATAATCCTCACTTTCAGAGTGGTGAGACATCAATAGTTATTTCTGACGTGCTGAAAGGAGGCCCAGCAGAAGGACTGCTACAGTAAGTGCCAGGCTGTACCTGGGCTCTGGGCTGGGCTCATTCATCTTTGTCAGTAGGAGCTTAACCTCCTCACTGCTTTGCTCTCAAGATACCTGTCTGTAACTGTTTGTGTCATAGGCATGTAATACAGATGCTTTGTTCAGGGACACCTATTGCCCAGTGTTTTCCTTCTGGGCAGCAAGTATTTATACTGTTGTTGTGATGTTTTTCATTCAGAGAAAATGACCGTGTTGCAATGGTTAATGGAGTCTCAATGGATAACGTGGAACATGCATTTGCTGTTCAGCAGCTGAGGAAAAGTGGGAAGAATGCCAAAATTGTAAGTGAATGTCTTGATGATTTAAAATTCCGTAGTTACAGAGCAAAAGTGGAATGGTGTAATGTCTGCTCTGAAATCCAGGCGTGGTGCAAGGTGCTTGACTAATGCCTGTGTGATGCTTCAGGTGTAAGTGATGCTCAGGGCATGTGTGTCAAGTGGGTCACTCAACATTTCTCTTGAAAATGTGAATGATGATTTCTGTGCAGTGTGGCACTGGATACCTCAGACTACTTCTCTTCATGGTAAAGTTCATCTCAGTTTGCCAAACTCTGGCACATAAGCTTTGTGTAATATTTCTTTACTTTCTTGGGTGCACTTTTATCAAGGTTTTCAAAGGTTGGTGTATGCTGAAGGACTTCCCCCACTGTTAAGGCACTAAACCAGTTCTTTTTATGCTCAGTAAACAGTTTGCCAAAATAAAGTATAATTACCTTAATTCCTATAATTTTGTAGGCCTATTCAAAGTGGTTGGTTTCTGAAGTTTGCAAAACAGGCCAAGTCATCACCAAAGAGCAGTGATCCAGCTCTCTGTACAAGTTTGAGGTTTATGCTATAAAAAATAGCACAAAGAATGCACAATATTTAGAAGTTTCTTAATGCAGGAAAACACATTTCTAGGGCTTGTAGAAAAGCTGCTGTGCTGATAGATTTTTCGTGCTTTTGTGTGCTTTAATTCAGCTGCAAAAGAAGCCTGTGATGTTTTGCATTTGTAGATTTGGCAGCAGTTGTTTAAAGCTTACAGAAAGCAATGTGTGACAAGCTGTACAGGGCTTGCAGTATCTTTAGTATTTGATGTGCAGATTTATATAAAGAAAAGTAATTAATGAGAACTTTATGGTAGAACTTGGTTCAGTTCTGCAATACATAGCAAATACATCTCTGACCAGGGCTGGAAACAGTTGTCTTGTTAGTACAAAACAACTTTGAACTTCCAATGGGAATGTTCCCCTTCCTCAATGTCTTGCATAAACATTTCTTTGGAAGTTTCAAAGCTGAGGAGAATGACTGTCAATAACACACTGAGTGTACACTAGATTACATGTTAGCAAAAGAGGTTTTTTGCAGTGCCAGTAACTGATTTGTGGGTTAAGCAAAGAGAGGGCATTCAGAAATGTAGCTCTGGACACAGAATATTGTGCTGTGCTACAGTGGCTGTTGATTCTTATCCTTTTGCAGAAGCAAAAAAAAAAAAAAGACAACTGTAAAAACAGTTTTCTAGTATTCTGTATTGGTAAGTTTCCTGTATTAATTGGATATAATTTGATAATGAGGATGCAAGAATTCAGAGCATTCACAAATACATCTATCTGTTCTGAGTTTTGAGATGAGCTTCTGACATTTAGTAAGACCATTAGCATTGCACAGCCAGAGGCTGAGATCTGCTGTTGCCTTCTAGACTATCCGAAGGATGAAGAAAATTCAGATTCCAGTGGCTCGCCCAGACCCTGAACCAGTGTCTGAAAATGAGGACGACAGCTACGACGAGGAAATCCGGGATCCAAGGAGCAGCCGTGGGGGTCCCAGTGCCAGCAGGAGGCACGAGAAGAGCTGGGGCAGGGAGCGCAGTGCCAGCAGGGAGAGGAGCTTATCACCCAGGTCAGACAGGAGGTCGGTCGCCTCCAGTCAGCCTGCAAAGCCTACCAAAGTCACACTGGTGAAATCCAGGAAAAACGAAGGTAACTTGGATGGAATTCTCTTGCTTAAAGCTTTGCTGGTTTTTAGAAGCCAACTGCTTCAGCCAAAGCCATGTCAAGTATGCACAGTGCTGTCAACAGTTTGTTTGCCCATTTAGTAGCTAGATGAGAACTT